GATACGGTAAACAGTGTCTGTGAAATGTGAAAATCATACATTAAAGATATCACATGCACATCTTTCATTTGTCCTTTACATACTCCATTATTCTTCTAATTTTGTTATTATTCCGATTGCTCTCCGTTTCTTCACTATTCTCTTCATTTAAATCTTCCACTTTCTATCCCTGCAATAAACTACTTATATATGTCCACATAAGTAGTTTAAGTGAGTAGTATGGTAGAAACTGTTGATTGAGTATAGAGAAGACCTCCCAAAGAATTTGACATTGATGGATGCAATAGCTCTAAATCGTTCAATAGCTTGATTCAAATTCGTAAGAATGAACTAAATGCATGAATTCCGTAAAAATTATATCTGAATAGTTTTAACAATTGAAATTTAAATAAATCCAGCTTTTCGCTAAGCAATTTGGTCTGAACTTCTTCAGGGAAATAAATGTGATTGATTGCAATCTGAATTTCGATTACTGACTTACTTACTTACTTTACTTACGCCTGTTACTCCCAATGGAGCATAGGCCGCTGACCAGCATTCTCCAACCCACTCTGTCCTGGCCCTTCTTTTCTAGTTCCTTCCAGTTCTTGTTCATTTTTCTCATGTCTATCTCCATTTCTCGGCGTAATGTGTTCTTTGGTCTTCCTCTTTTCCTTTGACCTTCAGGATTCCATGTGAGGGCTTGTCTTGTGACGCAGTTGGGTGCTTTCCTCAATGTGTGTCCTATCCACTTCCAGCGCTTCTTCCTGATTTCTTCCTCCACTGGGATCTGATTTGTTTTCTCCCACAGTACGTTGTTGCTAATAGTGTCCGGCCAATGGATCTGAAGTATTTTGCGTAGACAATTGTTGATAAACACCTGTATTTTCTGGATGATGGCTTTTGTAGTTCTCCAGGTTTCTGCCCCATACAGTAGAACTGTCTTGACATTTGTATTGAAAATCCTGACCTTGGTGTTGGTTGACAGTTGCTTTGAGCTCCACATGTTCCTCAGTTGTAAATATGCTGCTCTTGCTTTGCCGATCCGCGCCTTCACATCTGCATCAGATCCACCCTGTTCATCAATGATGCTGCCCAGATACGTAAAGGTTTTTACATCTTCCAAATCTTCTCCGTCAATTGTCATTGGATTGGTGCATTCTGTGTTGTATCGGAGAATCCTGCTTTTCCCTTTGTGTATATTGAGGCCTATTGCTGCTGAGGCTGCTGCCACACTGTTTGTCTTCTCCTGCATCTGTTGTTGCGTTTGGGATAGAAGGGCCAGATCGTCTGCGAAGTCTAGATCATCCAACTGCATCTTAGATGTCCATTGTATCCCGCGCTTCCCTTCAGACGTTGACGTCTTCATGATCCAGTCGATCACCAGGAGAAAGAGAAAGGGTGAGAGTAAGCAACCTTGCCTAACACCGGTCTTCACTTTGAACGGCTTTGTCAACTGTCCTCCATGCACGATTTTGCAGTGTAATCCATCATATGAGTTCTGTATGATATTGACTATCTCCTGAGGCACGCCGTAGTGTCGAAGAAGTTTCCATAGTGTTGTTCTGTCCACGCTATCAAATGCCTTTTCGTAGTCAATGAAGTTGATGTAGAGTGATGAATTCCATTCAATTGATTGTTCCACAATGATCCGTAGAGTTGCGATTTGGTCTGTACACGATCTATCCTTACGGAATCCTGCCTGTTGGTCACGAAGTTGGGCGTCTACGCAGTCCTTCATCCTGTTTAACAATACTCTGTTGAAGACTTTTCCCGGTATTGAGAGAAGAGTGATGCCCCTGTAGTTATCACACTTGCTGAGATCGCCTTTCTTCGGTATTTTGATCAGAAGTCCTTCTTTCCAGTCTGTTGGTACTTGTTCCCCATCCCAAATCTTATTGAAGAGAATGTGAAATATCCTTGCATTTGCCGCTACGTCTGCTTTTAGTGCCTCTGCTGGGATGTTGTCCGGTCCTGCTGCTTTGCCACTCTTGATTTGTCTGATGGCCATGCTGATTTCTTCAATTGTTGGTGGGCCAATATTGATTGGGAGGTCCGTGGGTGCTGCTTCGATGTTGGGTGGGTTCAGTGGAGCTGGTCGATTCAACAGTTCTTTGAAGTGTTCTACCCACCTGTTTTGTTGCTCTTCAATGTTGGTGATTACCTTGCCTTCCTTGCTTTTCACTGGTCGTTCTGGTTTGCGGCGATTTCCAGAGAGTTTCTTTGTCGTGTCATACAATTGTCTCATATTTCCTTCTCTTGCAGCCTTTTCCGCCGTCGTTGCTAAATCTTCCACATATTTACGTTTGTCGGTTCTGATGCTCCTCTTCACTTGTTTGTTTATTTCCGTGTATTCAGCTTGTGCCTTAGCTTTTTCTGCTCTTGTTCGGCTGGTATTGATCGCTGCCTTCTTGTTCCTTCTTTCTTGAATCTTATCCAGTGTATCAACAGTGATCCATTCCTTGTGGTGGTGCTTCTTGTGACCCAGGACCTCATGACATGTTGAAGTGATTGCCTCTTTGATCCCCTTCCAGTTGCTCTCCACAGTAGTTCCTTTTCCATTGAGCAGATCATGAAAGGCCTGGAACTTGTTGCTGAGGACTATCTTGAATTTGTTGAGTTTGTTAGTATCCTGAAGAAAGGCCGTATTGAACGTTTGTGATATTGTCCGCCCCATTGTCCAGTGCTTCTTGAGTTTCAATTTCGTCTTGGCGACCAGTAAGTGATGATCTGATGCTATATCAGCTCCTCTCTTGGTTCTCACGTCCTCTATAGTCCTCCTGAACGTTTTGTTGATGCAAATATGGTCGATTTGGTTTTGCGTGGTGTGATCCGGTGAAGTCCATGTGGTTTTGTGTATGCGTTTATGTGGGAATATGGTGCCGCCTATGACCAGCTTATTGAAGGCACATAGATTTGCAAATCTCTCACCATTTTCGTTTCTTTCTCCCAGTCCGTGTCGTCCCATGATGTCTTCATATCCAGTGTTGTCCGTTCCAACCTTGGCGTTGAAATCTCCCATCAGAATGGTCAGGTCCTTTGTTGGGCACTTCTCGACAATTGACTGCAGCCTATTGTAGAGTTGATCTTTAGCGTCTTCATTGTAGTCGTTGGTAGGCGCATAGCATTGGATGATGTTCATTGAAATGCCCTCTTTCTTTGTTTTAAACGAGGCTTTGATGATCCTTGGTCCATGAGATTCCCATCCTATAAGTGCATTTTGTGCTTGTTTGGACAGCATCAATGCAACTCCTTGTGTATGTGGTGCATTTTTTTCTTCATGGCCGGAGTATAACAGGAGCTCTCCTGTAGTTAGTCGTTGTTGTCCAACTTGTGTCCAATGTGTTTCACTGATCCCAAGTACCTCTAGGTTGTATCTTCTCATTTCTGCAGCAGTCTGGAAGGCTCTTCCGGTGTCCCACATTGTACGAACATTCCATGTACCTAAATAAATGGTCGCTCTGGTTGTCAGAAGGGGCATCGGCCTCGTAACTTCCGAAGGGATTCGGCTTTCATCATGAGGCGTCATAATTCTTCTAAATGAAGACCTTCTGACTCCCAGGGCAGAGTTTAAAAGATTTGAATAGTTTTTTCTGGTTAGCGTTTTTTTGGCGAGTTAGTTTTCTACGGGATGGGGACGCTAACCCCATGCCCAACCCTCCTCCTTTATCCGGGCTTGGGACCGGCAGTAGCCCCCGGAGGGACTCCAGGCGGAGTTTTCGATTACTGAGATTATTCAAATATATTTTTTTACATTTATAGCATACTTCGCTGTGTGTAAACGAGGAAGTAAAGGTAGTGTTTTTATGTGGTTTATTAGTATATTCTCAGTAATTTAATATACACATTATGAATATGGATTATCTCGATGACATTAAATTCTGTACAATGGTTGACATACTTAAAATTCAGCCACTAATTGGCTATGCCTGTGTTATTAAATTATGGTGATCATTCACTCAAAAAATTAGTACTAAAGTGGTTAGTTATATTATTCTCCTTTCCATTTTGTAACCTTATTTAATTGTTATTCTGACTTCAGAATAGTTAATTTGTGTTCGAATGTTTTGGAATTGCTAAGATAATTTCAGTTCTATGTTTTTCAAATTTGCGTGTGTTAAGTAATTCATCAGTATGTATTTTGTATTCCATTACCTTTCGAAACGAGTAAATTTGAACGCATGGATAAATGGAGTTAAATTCAATAGTCAGAATTCATCGTGGTGCACATGTCACCCTAGATCCCTCTGTCTGATCCAATACCTGGTCATGGATGGATATTTCTGAGAAGTCTTAAACTAAAAAAACAGGTTACTAGTGCTCCTTAGGTTACAATGATCCCTCAGCTGATATTGGTCCATGACGAAGACCACTTTGAATTGTCAGGACTAGTGGGTTAGGGGATAAACGATTGAAAATCAATGGAAACTTCTGTTTACATTTCCTGAGCGATTATCTTCAGACATGGTCCATAAATTTGGTCGCCAATTTATGTTATTCTGTGTTATCGTTTTTAATCTTTCAGCTATTATTATTTGTTGGCATTAGGAAGAAACTTATTCTTTCACATATATGAAACAAAAAATGAACAAGGCTTTTGTACTTCTCAATATACTGGAGGTAATCTATCTTAAAAATCTTAAATTTGTCTATTGAAATACTCGTTTTTAATGTAAACAAAATGTAGGATGACATTTAGCTATCATTCTAATAATCTGTTAGCTTATTGGTAGACAAAATTTGACCAGTCAAATTTTAGCCAATCATGATTTAGCTAGGAAATTTGTCGTACATGTACTCGCTTAATAATTAATAAGATAATCAAAAAGATATTAGGAATTTTAATTGGCGGATGTCACGTAAACTTTTTCATACTTGATTAGGTTCAGTTGACTGTTGAGACCTTCGAAATATCGTTATCTTTCCAAAAAACATTCCTTCAACTTGGATTTAGTCATGGTTGTAAATATGTACTTACACCTTGCCTACTTTTATGGATTAAGTTGATATTCATCGCAAAAATGAATATTTCATTGAAAAACCTTAGTATGTTTATCATAGTAGTTATATATGTTGTCCTTAACGGCATTCATGGCCAGTCGTATCAGCCGGTGAATTTTAAACCATCATCTACAGGAAGACATTTGCTTTATTCAGATTGGGAAAGCGCGCCGTCATTTTATTCACCTGGTGGTATAACACCAGATAATGAACCTCGTGCTCCTATTTACATGGAATTAACAAACAATCTTACATCTGTTAACGGAGCTTCAGGTATATGTGGTGTTTGTGCACGTATATATCGCGTTTTGCATATGACTCAACTGAATGCTGCTGAAGAATGCCGACGTCATCATAATTCGAGACAAGCAGCTTTTGGTGATATTACGGAATTTTATCACACGGTAAGTACACTATATATTTTAATATGTAATACGACTAATCACTTAAAGCATTTGAGGATTTTCTGCTACCTATTTTCTGTTAAGTGCTTTCTTACCATTTTCCACACGGTATTAGTGAGTTTTAGGTAATATCAAGGTCAGGTTCATGTTTTCTCGTCAAACAAATGAGGCTAACTATTTGTATTAGCTTTAAGTTTGCATTTAAAATATGTTGCTCATCCTTATTAATCGCTCAATGTTATATTTCTTGCTGTATCTACCAGTAATCATCAGAGCTGAACAAGTCCCCAAGATATTCAATATTGTCAAGCTATTGCAGAATATGCATCATCTTGTCTTATAAATAATAAACTAATTGGATAGGATTACAGTATCATTAATAATAGTATTTCATCCCATAATGTAAATTTTTATTCATTTAAATAATAATTATGTAATTTATTTTGTGTTATTGATACATATATCATCTGAAGAATGTTTTTGTTAATCGAAAAACAACTGAACATCCCCTTTAGATTCAGTCTAAGATATTAATTTTAATAGTTGAGATCATGAGTCAATTGGAGCTAGACCATAGTGAAAAAACTGGAAGTACTGGACAGCCGTTTCGTTCTAGTATGTGATTCCTCAGGAGTGCGCATGCACAATCTCACTCGCGGGATTCGAATCCAAGAGCTACCAGTCTCGTGAGCAAACGCTTAACCTCTAGACCGCTGAGCTGACCAGCATCCAACGGTGTTAATGTCTAACTTCAACCTTCCATGGTGGTCTAGCTTCAATTGACTCATGATCCCAACTATTAATATTACTATAATATCCACAAAAACCCCTTCTAAACCATTATTTTACGGTGATATTTAATCATAAATTAATCAAATCTCTAAATATGCTTGTTTAAAAGCTCTGTCTTCAAAATAAAAAGGGAACCGAAAAATAATTTCATCTAACATTCAAATTATCACGAATGCGTGTAGGTTTGTTTATTGGTAGAAATGGATCAATTAGAAAACCCCAGTTATCTTCATCTATATAGTAGGCACATTTATGCACTTGTCCCAAATTCCTTGAATTTAAAAATTGCATAGGGTGTCTCTATAGTATAAGAAATATATCATGGATAGCACTGAGTAACTTTTGAGCAAACTAAAACTATGATTCAAGTATCTACAATGATGTAAATATTATTAATTTTATTTATTTAGTTCACACAACAGTTGGTACAACCAGGGACCAGAAATAATATGTATCACACAAAATAATACTTGTGTTTAGGTTTGTCTAGTATCTGAGTCCCCAAACCGAGGCAGGAATTTTTTCTACGAGTTCACTCTCCAAGCATCGTTCAATCACTTACATAGTACTGTGATTCATCCATTGTTTAATTACTTATGAATAACTAGAAATGTACTATGGTAATCTTACTGTTATAACAATTTATACCATCAGAACAATTAGTTACCCTATTTTTTTTAGATAAACTCATTTTGTCGCACTTCTTTCAGAGAAAAATTGACAATGTGTTGAAAGGAAATATTTACAATTACAAAACGCATAATTATGTTATTATTATTATTATTACTATTATTATTATTATTATTATTATTATTATTATTATTTGTGAATTGAATAATTTATGTGATACTGAAACCATAACAACAAACCATTCAAAGTGTTAAAACATTGAGTTTTCTTTTTTGTATTGACACAAATTATCAGCATTAGTTATTGTACTCTTTATACGATTCAATCAATTTATACAATAATAGTATTATTTTAGATTAACAGAACTAATTTGTTAGTTCCATTGACAAAGATTGTTTGAGAAAAAAGGGAATAGATGTTATTTCTTTATTATTATTATTATTATTATTATTATTATTATTATTATTATCAGTTTTTGATAGTTTCATTGTTAGCATTCACTGTTGAAATTAGACTATTTATTAGTTTGATATATTATTTTTACATGAATCTTCATGATATCTAGCCGAGTTATATGAATAGAAGCATTTAAATTTAGAAAATAATTCTGTAACCTGGTATAGATTATGATACTTCACTTTGAGCTATAACTTCATTGTCTGCGAGTTGATGGTGTTATCTGACTGCTTAAATCAAGTCATCCCAAAGGAGATTTGAATCAATGACTCAATGAATTAAGGTTGACAGACATTTATTTATCTAAACACATAAGCATTGGTACAAAATGGTACCAAATATATTTGAACCACATTTCGTCATTCGACTTATGTAAGGGTCGGGATACTAAATGGGCACCCAAATCCCAAGCAAGTGGTTTTCTTAGGGGGCCACACCCTAAGCCTTTGACCTGGAGGTCTAATCCAAAAGGCAGTGGGACAGCCTTAGGAGATGCAGTCCCATAACCAGTGAGCAACAGATTTATACGCCATTTGTTCCTTCAGGATCCTAGAGCCCATGTTCATCACCAGTTTGGAATTAGGGTATTCTAAATCCTACATCCACCAGCCCAATTAAAACGCTGGACATTCGCTTTTCATCCCCCCAGTTTCGTAAACAACACTCCTGTGGTGAGAAGTCAGTGAATGAGTCGATAGCCATAACCATTCAGCCATAGCTTTATTGGTAGGTTCTTGTTAATGTAATAAGTATATTTGAAACTACCAGATCATCATTTATCTTTCTATTGTATTCATAAAGTTATTAGTTAAGTTTATAAGTATAATTATCTTCACAAGATAGACTTCATGTACCGAGTTAACAGCTTTAAAGACAAGCCAATGTGGGCAAAATTAAAACAAGAGTTCGACAAGTGAATTATAATTTTGAAAATAATACTGAAAAGATAAATTTGAGACGAATTGGATCCATATATTATTTTCGTATTAATTTCCAAAACTGATTATATGAATTATCTGTGTGAGAGATTGGACTGATACACTTGCAACTGATACTAAGTTGTTTGTTCGCCTGCTGATAGCGACATTTTTTAGCCGAGTATACTAGGAGTTCCTACTATTCAGTTCCCTATTTTCTAATCCAACTTAACTGTCTTTCAGAGTTAATCCTTCTCTTATTTTCATGTGATAGATTAAAACACACACACACTTAAATGACGTTTGTACTCAATGTTCATTAAAATTCTTTTTGAATGCCTTATTTAGATTAAAACATTGTAGTCATTTAGATTGGATTGAATACATGTTATCAAAGTGGTCTTAGTAAGTTTGCTCCATTTATTGATGAAAATTAGTATGTACACTAAAGTTGTCAGTGATTAGAGAGATTATGACTTCTTCCCTATGTACATCAGTCTTCCATCTTTCCAATATAACATCACTAACAACTATATGGAATACAATTTCTTGTTTATTGTTATTGTGATTATTATTATTGCTACTATTACTATTTAGTATGAATGAATTTAAACAAAAGTTTTATTTTCGTCCTTTAATTAGATTTATTCTCCTTTATTATTAAGAACACACACCACGATTAATAAAACAACAACCTAATTATTGAAATAATTACAATGATCATATTAATTATTCCTTTTATGGTGTTACCATTGTTGATGTTGATGATGATGAAAGATGATGAATGAGATGGAAAGCTACAATCTGATTTTACCATTGTAACTATTATTTATAATCTTAAACTAGATCATCTTGTTTTTCTTCTAATTTGACTTATCTATAATATGATATAACATACCATAGATAAATAAAGAACTAAAAAGTCATTTTACTAGAGAATAAAACATGAAACAGTTTATGTACAAAAAAAGTAACAATGTACAACATAAAGTTAACAATTATGCTACCTGGTACACTAATCTCTAGAAATTAAAGCACACCACTACTGAAAGTAAACTGAGTGGGAATTTGCTCAAAAAGCAAAAGAAACTCAGTTGATCAAATCTCGAATTCTCAATAGCTAAAACAATTTTAGTGTAAGTTATAAATGGAAATATTCGCTAACTTTTATATATGATCTTTGTTGATGTCATGTGAGTTACCTTTAGGTTGATTAGATCAAGATATGATATCAATGTAAGAAGTTGTTGCCTGTCGATTTAATCGAATACTATAGCGCAACTCCTATTGATGGTCCTTGAAGTTCCACAAAATAATGGTTGAAAACTCTAGTCGATGTGGTAAATATAGGTTAGTTAGAATAATGTACATTTATTCGATCAATAGGACAATGTTAATAAGCTGACAGCTTTATTGCTCTAGTTGTAGTTTTGTGCATTTAACAGCATTCCACATAATCTAAAAAAGTAAATAAGTCGTCTTAAGCAGATATGCATCGTCACTAGCAATGAAATTTAGGGTAAACCTTCAGTCTCGTTTGAAGATTCAAACAACCAATATATACATATGGAGTAAAATTCACCCCACTGCACAAACCGATGGCTATCTGGACTCAGTAGCTAAATGAATGATGCGATGACGTTTGAGGCGAACGATACACTGTTCAAGTCCCGGAGTAGACATCAACTATGTGATGGTGGCACATCCAGTTGACAAGTCCCAAACAGGACAAAACACGTGGATTCCATTGCTAGCCACTATCCATCTCTGCTTTAATCGCTTGAGATTTGATGGGATTATCGAGGGAACCCGTTTATGCTAAAAAGTGACTGATCGATCGCAGTCCTAAACATCGATGGGACGATTCTTATGAAGTGAATCAGTAAGTTCATTCTTATTTTTTATCTAAATCTTCTCTGTGGGTTATTTATTTAATATCACTTAACTTCGTGGTATCAAGTTTTCGTGATTTCATTTATGTAAGTAATGAGTTATATAACACTAAAATTAGTGTAATAGCACAAAAAGGTGTATGATATAAAATTAATCATTGATTTATATTAGTAATATCATTAATTTGGCATCAATTATACGTTACATTAAGTTATATTAGAATTCTAGACACGAATATACTATTTAACGGCATTTACCATACGGTGGTAGCCAGCTGAAATGAATTCAACATTTCAAAGTCTTGTAACAGCG